GTGGCTCATGCTCTGCTTTTGTGCAAAAATGGTAGGCAGACCTGGAACTTAAAAATAAATATCTGAAATGCCACTGTGACCAGACATAAGGTCTGGGCTTTTTTTTGACCAGACAGAAGTCAAAAGAAAGTTTTCCAGTCCAGGGTTCTAGTTCTATCTTGTCCACAAATCTGCCTTTGGCAAGGCTCCTACAAAATAACTCCAAGAAACATATTAAACAAAGTGCTAGACCAATAAGGAATAAGAAAGCAACACTACGGAATACTTCCTTTAAATTTCTGATACTTAAAAATTGGCAGATGCTCCAAGCTTAAGCTTTTAAGTGCATTTCAAGTTTGCTGTGGTTGGTTAGGTTTTTTTATGGAAATGATAAATACATGGTTCAATGAAATCTACAGATGCATTTTATTTCAGTATTTCTGAACAACTTCTCTTCATTGTTTCAAATGTATAATTATATTTGAGAATTACATTACAGAAAAAAAAAGGAAGCAGAAAATCCTGATGTGTATTCTCTATGCTCCTATATTTATCATCACTTATTCCTTTTCCTACTGTTCAAGCAGCTACTGTACACAGAGCCCCCATGGCACTTTTCATAATGATATTAAACACTACCTTGCCTTCTCCCTCATCCAAAATTCATACAGAACTTCAGAAAACATTAACACAATCTCTGAGTGATGAAAATAAAGTCGTGGCAATTATTACAATCTGAAGTCACATCTTTTGCTTCATACCCCATATGGTAGCTCCAACATTTGACAGAAGAGAAGGAAAAAGACTGGGCGCCTGTAACACTGGTATGATTACTCCTAACAACCTATAAAACTGAAGTCTGGAATAAAATAACAAGAAAACTGAAACAGTATCTTGTTTTACTCCAATTGCTGCAGACAGACTTGTCTCACCACTCTAATGGAGTACTACTGTTTAAACACAACTTACATTAACCCAATAGAGACAGAGAAATCAACGCCCAGTTTCCAGTATTTGTCCACTTCACCCGATCTTTGAATTTCACAAATGAAGTATCCTCAAAAGGTAAAGTATTTTTAGCTGCATTTCAAAAAAACCAGTCCTATCACCTGCAAATTGGAATAACAGTTGAAAGCCATTTAATGGTCTTTGATACAAAAGCCAATTTTTGGAAACTTGTAGCAATAAAGTTGAACGATTCCAAACTTCAACTGGTTCTAGGAAATTTAATTTTATAGAAAAAGCAGATGTTCTTCTATTTCACCAATTCCAGCCACAGAATGCATAGCTGACCTGCTTTCTACCCAGACGTTCTTTGACTATCAAGCAAACATTAACTTATCTGGAAGGCTTAAAAAAACCAGCAGGATCTGTGAAGGACCAAGGGACAATAGCTGAAGCTAGTAACAAACAAAACAGTCCAAAACACAAGCTCAACCAGAAAGTTCAATTCTCTTAAAGATATAACCTTCTTAAAATACAACAAGTAATTTGAAGCCCCTTACTACAAGGCCTGCAAAGGCACTGAGAAGGTAGGACAGCATGTTTGTACCAGATGCTCCACTAGACAAAGAATCCTGCTGACACAGGCCTAAGGACCCCCCTCCAATCCCCATTCCTTTGATTCCATCTCATCTTTTATGATTGTCCGTGCTTGGCATGAGAAGACCCTCATTTCATACTTAGCTCTTCCCTAGATTTTAAAGTTAGTGAATTCTCCTAATGCAAAACTGTTATAAAGTCAAATGCATAGACCCGGAGGATCAACATCTGAGCCACAAGAAGACTTCACTGCCATTTAAGTGGTGTAGCTGAAGACCTCAAGCCCACTTCAAAGACATTAGATCTGAGCCTTGGAACAAAGTTCTTATCTTCAACTCGGAGCACTCAGGTTTTAGACCCAGCCTACTCCACAGCAGGGTATTCCAACAGGGACTCTTATCTGATGCATTAGTATTACAAGCCTGCTCCAGGAAAGAATCCATATTAACTGCATCCTTTTATTTTTCTGTTTAAAAGCATGAATGCAATACCCAAATTCCCCTTACCAAGTCAGTAGGTGTGTCAGCCTAAAACCATTTCTTCAAACTGATTCTTCTGCCTCCCTCTTTTCTAGCCACATTAATGGAAAAATCCCAGTAGCACTTATGAAAAAAAAAAAAGAACAAGGTATATGCACACCTACTAAAGAAAATAAAGATGAATACAAGCTTCCATCTGACGAAGCACATACAGAGACATAACAGCTGTCTCCCTGGAAGCTGGGAATTCAGAAGCAATAAGGGCAAAGATGCTTCAAACCTTCTGTGTCTAAATACTGGAACAGAAGAGTATGTTTGCACATTCCATTCAACAGCTTTATTGTTTTCAATGGTTCTTCAGATTGGTGAAAGTGGCAGTACCAAGGAAGAAATGAATTTCTCCTTCATGTTCAATCAACATTAGTATCACTGTAATAAACTTCAACATTACAAAGATGAATTCACCTAGGATTGCTTCTTAAAGTGTTAGTAGTCAAAAATAGTGAAAACCAAGCCCTTATATTAAAACACGGTGATAGAAAAAAGAGTATGTTGATCCTCAGGGGGAAAAACCCAGCAGGATTTTCAACCCATATTATGCACAGAAAGGTAAACTTCTGAGTCATTCACATGCTATTTAGGGTCACAGCACCTATTTGTTGAGGCTCTCCGTATGATAAATAAACGCAAGGCTCAGTAAGTTAGCTCTGTCAAGCAGATTTTTTTCTTCTTTACTGGAGTGACTTAAGGAGGTCACAAGTGAGAAAGCAACAGGAACAAGATTTTGTATTTCCTTGGCTCAAATGATAAAAACATAAACCACAATACAATGTGTACAACTTCAGATTTCAAGGAAAACTCCTTCAAGCTCAACTGCAGCTAGCAGCTTGTCTCTATTTGCCGTCACTCTAGATCAGAAGAGCCCACATGCTTTTTTTTTTTTTTTTTTTATTTTTTTTTCCCTTTCCTGCCCCTTTCTGTTACACTTGAGCTCTTTGACTGAAAAGGTCTGGAACAGATTAAAAGTCCGACCACAAAATAAAGAGCCTTGGCAAGTACTCAAGCCTGTCTGGGATACACATACACAGTGGGCCCAAAAAGGGAAGCTATGCAGCAAGAACCCTTATGCAGTCTTTTGGACACTTCTAACTTCTTTCAGTTTAACTGCACAGCCTTCACATTTGATGGAGTTTCAGTACGCACAAGACAAATGACTTTTGCCCTTACAGTTAGACCACACTATTTACAGGAGTACAATAGTCCTAAGAAACAAGATTCATCTTACTCACAACCTGCCAATTAAAGCCTTTTCCACACTCCTTTTTCACTTCCAGCTCATCATTGGAAACTATAAAGTAATACAAAGAAAAGCAAAATATATACCCTGCAAGATTACTTAAGTAAATATAATTGACCTGCCTCTTAACTGCAAAAGGCAACACTGATTTTCAAAATGACTGCTTCCTTTTCAGCCTTATTCACATATTAAGTAATTGTAAAGAGTTGCAAATTACCCACACACTCCTCTTCCAACACGCAAACAGGTCTGCAACCCTGGCTGGTGTTAAAAGTCAGCACCGACACTTGCCAAAGCTGACAACCTTCAACGTACGCCCCACCTTTGGGCTCAAGTTGCACAGTGGTTCAACCTGTCTACAAACTGGTGAACAGTTTATAAACAAAGTGTGACAATCTGGTCTTCTCCATGAGGGCAAGCGGATGTTTAAAGTAAGCACTGGAGCCTACTGAACAGAAATGCTGAAATTCCTATGAGCCATTTCAGAAAAACCAAACAGAAGAGCGACTGTTGAGTTTTGCAGCTGTGTGTTTATATGGCATTCATGGAGTTAATGCCTCTCCCAAAAGGGGCCCACAGTTGTTGTTAGGTCAACCCCTGTAAAGCTTCAAAGGCTTTGTATCCCCTCAGCCTGACCTACTCAGTGATCTGCACACTGTTTTCATTTAGTTGCACCCAGTCCAAAACTAAAGCCTGAAAAACCACAATGATCTCTTCTTTTTTTTTTTCCTTTTACCCCTACTGTTTTTTCCATGGCTCTGGAAAAATAACTAAAATCCAAAGGAGTTGAAAATAGTAAGTTATTGGGAAAACAAATCAAGACCAAATTAATGCAACTAATAAAGCTTACACACACAGGTCATGGCTTTGTACCAAACTAAAGTTGTAATACCACCTTAAATACATCAGAACAATCACTTGGACAACCTAACAAAGTAGTTTAGAGCCTCTTAATATTATATGCTATTGCTATTCATAGTCATCAGTGCCAATATTTTATTGAAATGTTTGCAGCTCTGCTTTTCATAGAATGAAACCATTACAAAACATGAGATACCAGGTTTATTTTGTTAAATTTTTATATCTAGACCTTGTGGTCCCTAACTTAAGTCACCGTTTCTATTTCCAGTACTACATATACTTTACCCCACAAAGAGATTATTAAAATAGAAACAACAGAACTAATAATTTCTGTCCATATTGTTTAAAACAAAAAGTTTTATCATGATCATCACTGTGACAAGCTGGAATTATAAGCTGGTATATGTTTCAAGTGTACTTAAACAGCATAAACTATTATTTGAACAACGCCCTCATAAGGATAGCGCAAAGGAAAGTAAATACTTGTTTGGGAATTAAAAGATTCTTCTGTCGTGAAGTTTTACAATTTTAAAGGGAAGAGTGAGCTTGGCTGAAACTATCTCTAGGTTTCTGAATGCCACCAATTCTGGAAACTCTGTGGATCATATGGAAAAATCCCAACCCCTAGGCATTAGAAACTTTGGTGACATACGCACCTGCAGGATATATGCTAATTCTTTTTATCTTTTTTTTTTAATATATAATGATTTAAATAAGGTATCTATAATTCAAATTAAAAAATATTTTTATCGCACTCTAAAAAGCTTTCAAAATATGCCTGCAAAATTAAAGCTGAGTGAACTGAAGTGAATCAAATATTCTGAAGTGAGATGAACTTTTACCAAAGCGTGGGTCAAGCCTTGGGTCTAGCCAAGATGTTGTCTTGTTCTTATGGTTTATGTAGTAAATTTCTCCATCCTGGGTCATAGCTTGTTCCCATCCATCGGGGAGTGGGCCTGCAATATAGAAGGAAGGAGTTGATGGCGGGCTCTTGTTTGCTCCAGCTGAAATTGATCTAAAAAAAATTCCAACATTTTACATATAGAACAGTACATGAAGAGTTTCAAGCTCACGTCTAACATTTCTGGGATAAGGGCAAAGAAGTGGCGGGTGGGAAATCAAAGAACAGAAAGTACTTCTATCATTTTGATTTAGGATTCGGAGTTTAATTTTATAACTTGTTTGCATCCTTTCAACACTTCCTTTTGCTACAGCGTTATAGTAAAAAACCAGCAATAAGTCAAGCCTGCCAGAATGAAACCAGCATGAGCACCAGGAAAAAGAATAAGCAGAGAGATATTCTACCTTTTGTGGGAAAGTGTATATGCCCAGCAGCAGCAACAAGGTAACACTGAACAGATCCTGGAATATTCCCCTACTTTTCACAAACGATTAAAAAGTGACAAAACTCATTTACCCTTTGCCTCATACCGTAACTTTCTGTGAAAGCGTTAAAGGCTTAATAAGCAAGCAACAACACAAACCTGAAGAACAGGAGGCAAACAAGCAATGAAAAAGCACAGGTAAGAGAACACCAGCAGCAGACATAGACATGGTGCTACGAAGAGCAGTGCTGCGCCTCTACGAGCAGGAAAGCACAAGCAGGGAGACCTACTGTTAGGAAATGGTAAATAAAAGGGAGGTGTTCTGGAGTCCAGAGCTAAAGTCTGAACACAGAATCCTGAGGTGTGTTTCCCTTGTGTTCTAAATAGTGGCTTTCAAGAAAACCACCATCATGACTACACAGTTCATAAACCACCCATTCCCATCTCTATATGATCACATACATTCATCTAGGCTCCCCAGTTCAAGAAGGACAGGGAACTGCTGGAGAAGGTACAGCAAAGGGCCACAAAGATGATTAGGGGCCTGGAGCATCTCCCTTACGAGGAAGGGCTGAGGGACTTGGGTCTTTTTAGTCTGGAGAAGAGAAGGCTGAGGGGAGATCTGATCAATACTTATAAAGACTTAAAGGATGGGTGTCAAGAGGATGGGGCTGGTCTTTTTTCAGTGGTGCCCAGTGACAGGACAAGAGGAAATGGGCACAAACGTGAGTATAAGAAGTTCCACTTAAACGTGAGGAGGAACTTCTGCACTCTGAGTGTGGCAGAGCACTGGAATAGGCTGCCCAGGGAGGGGGTGGAGTCTCCTCTGGAGACATTCAAAACCCACCTGGACACGTTCCTGTGCAACCTGCTCTAGGTGGACCTGCTTTGGCAGGGGGGTTGGACTAGATGATCTCCAGAGGTCCCTTCCAACCCCATGTGATTCTGTATTTTGCTTAGTCTGAAAACTATTCTTAAAGTTACATTCATCTGATCTTATCTGGCAGGTGCTTTAGAAATGTATGCTTTTGAATTCTTACACTCACATAGACACAGACTTTTAAAAACATCTAAATTAGCTACAGGAAGATCTTGCCTGTATTTCTTTAGTTTTAAGTACAATCCTAAGATAAATTGGCAAAAGATCCACTGCAAATGTTAAGAATGTTAAAGAAATTAGAACAAGACCTGCTGTAGGAAGCCATCATATTTCAACCTCTTCTTCCACTCTTGCCCAGCATAATACAGAAATACACCAGCAAAAGCCATTTGGCTGTTAGACCTGGACTAACAGACCATTCTGTATAATGTAAGATACATTAAACATGCACAAACATCGTAACTTCACAGATGAGATTCAGATATACACACAAAAATGTTGTGCATGTACCTGATAAATGCCTGAAGTACCCACTACGCCCACATTCAAAGTACATTAGCTTTTTGCCTGTCATTTTGTCCTGAAGTCATGCTCCTGTTGAAGAATTCATTGTCTAAAGCTTCAGAGGAGGATGGGGGGGGGGGGGGGTGGGGAA